GATGACTTCCATGATGAGAACGATGATTTGGTGTTTACTTATAGTAAGCAGCGTGTTTGCTATTTTTATATTGAGATGACGAATTGCATTCCGTACGCACTTTAGTACTCCCAATATCATGCATCTTGTATTTCGCCTTTTAGTCCAGGCACCCTGTGGTGTTGGTTATGTCCTAAACGATTGGCTAAGTCCTGTACAACATCACGAAATATAACTGTATCTATATTTTCTCCTAATAAATATAATAAGAACCAATCGCCCATCTTTGAACGACGAACGATTATTTCTATTGCGTCTCGACGCACTAACCTGTAATTATTTTAATATTTCAATTTAAATAAATTGTTAGATTAATTATTAATATTATATTATATACCTAAATCGCATACGAAATAAATACACTCTCATACGTGGTGAAAATATAATAACCACCCTGTATATTAGTGTTAGTAATGTGAGAAACGTTAATAATATAAACCAAAACCAAAGGAAAATATAAATTTTCTCATTAACAACATTCAATGGCAGTATGCAGATGGCATCATGTTTTTCAACCTAAAAGAATAAAAGTTTTAATTATTTTATTAATTATTTGTAATTATATTTTTATATGTTTACAAACCTCCCCACTTGAACCGTATTTAAAAAATGTACATTTGGTCATTCTGGGGAATATGTATATCATAGGATCCATGCGATCTTCTTGATCCGTCTCCATATACGCTATCACATCCAAGCCAAATGTCATAAATTCGCCATCGAAAAATCGATTCATAAGAAACATTTGACCTGCAAATATATATAATAAAACTTAATTTATGGAGACATAAAAAATTGGGAACTTCATTAAGAATTTTAATTTGAGCTGATCTGGGACATCCTGAAGCTTTAATCGATGATGATCAAATTTATTATTTATTATTATTATTTCTATAATAATATCAATTATAATTGTTGCATACGATGAATGGAAAAAAACTTCCCAGTCAACTATTTTCTGTTTGGAAAATAAGAATTTGTGAACGTTTGGCATGGGTGACTGGGTTGATCTAATAAAAATTTTATATTAAAGCCAATTACTGAATTTATTAAAATAGTTTTTTTTTTGACTATCATTAAAATTTACTGAAATGGTAATTTATGGCAGCTTTAATGATTCTTTATTACTTCCGACCCCCTGATATCATTTATCACTTCAAAGTCAATTACTTCTAGTATTTTGGTGAAATCTGTTGGCCAGTATGTTGACTGTACGGTAGATATAAAATCTAAATATTGGTTTAAAATGATTTATATAGATTGCTATTTTTTAGAGAAATAAGTTTGGAGTCCTAGAAAATATGTTAAGCATTTATAGTCCTAAATATATCAAAAGATCGTTTGTTTCTTCGCGCTCGTCTGTCTAGTGACTTTAATGGCAATAACTTTTCTATCAAAGTCATAACTTTTCTATCAAAGTCTCAGGTCGACTAATTATAAAAAAAATATATAATATCTTCAATTTCTTCTCGTTTCCTCGTTTCCTGACCGTACTATAAACCTGAAACTAGTAAAACAGTGCAAAATTCAACAGAGGTTTGAGAGTAACAATATTATAGCATAGAATATATATAGTTATATAAAGTAGACAATATTATTGTTCTCGGTTTCAGGGATCCGACTAAAATGAGAAAATAAAACTATGATAAACTAATTTAATAAAAATGAAAAGATCCATCAGCAGAGCAACTGATACAGATCTCGTTATAATGTGGAAGATAACAAAATAATCATAATAAATTTAAAACTTCAACAGACTGCAAAAGCTCATACTAATATTGTAGGCAATAATTTTCAAAAACAAAAATTCTAGTGGAGAAATTGAAGATCGAAATGGTAAAACTAGTGACGGAACTGACAGGTCACTGGCTAGTTGTTGTCCCTACCCTGGTTGAGATATTCAGAAGTTGGAGGTAAGAAAAAACAAAAGGAACAACTGATCACTTTTAGATACACCACAATATTAATATGTACTATATGAGCCAATGAGCTAGATGGACATTCTCAATATTGATCTTGAGAAATCCTGCATGTTTGTTTTCACGATTAGGTGTAGGGTAAGCATATATCACCCTTGTGCTATTTGAAAAGCGGGGAAACTTAGCCGCCACTAAAACCAGGAACTATAAAAAAAATTTGAGAATACAAATGTGTAATATAGTTTATATTCGGTGCGAGGTCTAAGATGACAAGAAAACTGGTTATGTTATATTTAAATGGGCTTAAAATATCAAATGTTAGAAAGCAATTTCTATCTTTGCTAATCAAAAAGTTCTAAATTGTTTTATATTAGCGCTTTAAGAAGACAATTACAAGATGCTATAAAACTATTTGATTAGGTAATTCTACTTCAACAATGCTCTGTATTGAGTATCGTGATGTTATAAACAGCTATATGATTCAATTTGATTATTGATTGGTTGGTTGCAGTGGCAGGCCATTAGATAACTTCAAATGTACCCAATTAGCGATTTTTCGTCGTTTTGATACCACATTCCTCGTAAGAACCCAAGTAAAGAAGAGTAGAGGCCAAATCCATCCCGCCGAATTTAGGTAATTTAATAGGTTTTTCATCTTCATCGTTGAGTAGTCTGATAAACTATCACAGAAGTATTTTCCTAAGAACCTATATCTTCTGAACACCAAAGCTGGGCATTCACAGAGAAAATGTATTGTGGTGTCTTTTTCCTACGGGTTTCCACAACTTCTGCAGTGAGGATTATGGGGAATCCGCAGTTTCTCTGCTTGGGTTCCTACACATCAATGAACAGTAAGAACTGCAGTAAGCTTTGCAGTGTGGACGCGATCTCTTTTGATGAGTTCCGAGGATTTATTTTTGTTATAGGTGAGCCATGTTAACCTGGAAGTTGCACATGACCTTTCCTTCTGTTATTGGCAAGTTGCAGAAAGTAGAGAAAGGTACTTGTTTTAATGGTCTCCAGGGTAATTTAAACTGGTACCGCCAGTGACGCAATTTGATTATTACTGGTCAAATAGATTGTCAAATAGAATACTTAAGAATGTTTACAGAAAATCCAAAGAGGAAAAGATTTTGAACTCTTGAGGTCATTTTAAAATAAATATGAATATCAAAATACTACATATATAGTACACACTTATAGTATAATTACTTAGCATATAGGAAACGTTATTGCCTTGAACTTAGAGCCTTCCGGTCTTAAATTTCTCTGATGCCCTTTAACAAGTATTTAATAAAAACATTTTGTTTAAAATTTTTCAAAGAAACTCATTATTAGTTCACCTCTCCAAAATTTTATGTATCTTTTAATTGCCTTTTGCCATTTTACATAAAACAAAAGCATAAAATTCTATGGAATTTATTTTTTTTTAAGTTTAATTTTAATTTTAATTTTAAACATCCTTGCTTAATTATTCGCTGTAATAACATATAATGTGTACTCGTATGTTTTTTGTTTCAAAATCAAGATCAATATTCCGAAAAAGAAAATATTTATGGAATGGACTTCTCTGCTGGTTCCAAATGAACTGAACGCACACAAATTGTATAGAAACATTGACTTTCCGAAAGTAAACACACGTCCACGTTTAATTAAATTAAGAAAAAATCTATGCATACTAAATAAAATCTGTTCAAACATAGATGAAATCATTTACACATATTCGAATATTCACATAATCACCTATGTATCTATAGATACTGCTCGGCATAAAAAAAATTACACATTTTCTGACAGTTCATTATTTTGATTGTCTGTCAGTTCCAGCGTCAATACATTTTCTTCTTAAAATAATTGTAAACTTTACCTATAAAATTCCAATGAAAGCAAGAAATGCTTTGGAATGGATCGATCGATCGCCTGTTCGGTGGATGGTCTCTGGTAATTATGTTTATTTTGATTTCGGTATATTGTGCATTTCGGTTAGTATATTAAAATTTGCCATTGTAATTTGTTTATTTTTATATAATTTTGTGGACTCACATTAAAAAGAACGCCGAGCACAGCGCAGAGCACATAATATTTATTGGTGATCTTTTGTGTTTTTCGTACAATGGTGAAATATATTGCAAACACATCCGGTATGTAAGTTAATTAAATATATGTAAATATTGATACGAGTATTACTTTGTATTTCTTATACAAATTTAAATGTTTTATAAAACCTAAACAATAAAGAGTTCACTGCACTGAACCTTGAGTGAGCACCAGGTATTTCATTACAACCGATAAATGCTTACTTACCTATCACATTAATCAGCGCCAGCAGCTCACAGACATAATACCTGTAAGCCCACCAGTTGTGATATCTATAATATATAAATATATGAAATTTAATAGATGAGTTTTAATGAGTTTAACTAATAAGTAAATAGTTTTACCTGAGATTCTCCCATAAATAATCTAAAAGTAATTTCTTTTTTTGTTTTTTCTCGGCTTCGGAACAAATGCCTATATCTAAGTCCATAATAAGTGCGTGAATCTTACCGCCTTCCCAAGACTTCCACAGCCATCTTGGTGTATAAAATAAAATTGCCTGAAACGAAAGAGAAAACAAACACGTTTTATATTTTGATTTTATATTGGTATTAAGTATTAAAAAATTATTATTATTAGATATAAGAAATCCTCAAAAACTCTCATGAAAATATATTAAATATAAAATATATTAAAATTTTAATTAACAATTATAATCTAGTCTACTAGGAACAATGGCATCAAAAGTCTGCAGCTCATATTTAAACATTTGTTTCATCTTTATGAATATAATATATATATTTAAATAATAAATTTCTTAATATATATACATTTATATGATTATGATTATATAATTATATGGAAGGTAGTTTATAAGTGACATGTAACAGAACTTATTTAGGATTTACTATAAAGACCAGAAAGAAATTAAAAAAGATACCATAGTTGACCGATATGTTGACTCCGAGACAAATGACTCATCTCGAAGACAAAGACTGTGAGGTTGCCAAAACATCTAATGTGCTAGATCAAACAGAAATAAAAAGAAGTGCCGATAATCACATCAGCAAAGACCTTCTCACCAAACATATATTAAAACAAACGCAAATATATATAAAACTATCAAAATAAAATCGTGGTATTATGCGATATATACTGTTCAAAAGTTCCCGTAAAATAAAAAAATTTCTTTACTATTTTTCTCAATTTCATCACTTTTAAAACAGCATCTTGTTCTGGAACCGTTTAACAGAATTATTTAACAGAGAAGCTTCGAACAGTACTGAATTGCAACAACAAAAATTTTTATTTATTTTTAATTAATTGAGCTTTTAGCTGATCAACACTTCTCTATGAGGTTTTGAGTACTATTTGAAACCTCCCTATTAAAAACAATAGGGTCACTACCATCATAACTAACGTTATTTAATATAGAAATATACTACTTTAATATATACGCAAACCTATTCGAAAGTTGATCAGAGAATAATTGTTCAAAAGAATGAAGACTGCTTGATTTGATTTAGTTACAGTTTAAAGATTATCTATTTAATGGATATCCGAGATAGAATTCAAATTTGGCATTCTTATGAAAGAATTCCCAAAAGAGATCGACTGCAATATAAGTCTTTTAAATCATACAAGATAATATAAACTGTCTTAGAACTGTCTTAACATAGTTCACCATAAACATGAATTATATTAAACTGAATAACAAGGTTATACTTAAATCTTATTCAAAAATAAACATACTTAAGGGATTACTGAGAATATCTAACTTTACAAGTGTGTTTAAAGTAAAACTAATAACTCTTAAAATAACACTATGTTAGGTTCAAATAACAACCTCATTTTGCAACAAATGAGGTGTTACCACCGTTAAAACACCGCGTACCTATTGGAGAGTTGTATAAAAGAAACTGATATAAGATTCTTTACTTACAACCGAGAAATAATCAGCAACTTACAGTTTCTTCGAGGTTAAATTAAAATTCCAAGGTCCAAGATTCTAAGGTCACCAACTAAAAACATTATAGACGGATGGTCATCAGTTATTCTTAAGGTATATACATATCATATCAATCAGAACTTTTATATATATAACCTACTATTACTTCATAAAAAAATGAATATTTAGGTAGACAAATTAGGCACATAGAAAATTAGAAAACATAGAAATAATATCTATGACTAAAATCTGTACATTCATCTTTTTTTTAAAAAGGCAATATCTATTAAGACTCGCAGCCTTTGCGAAGAAAGAGAACAAGGTTTCAGATTATAAAACCAAGCTGTTATTGCTGCTGTAAAGTCCATCTTTAAGTACTCAAAGACAAACATTGATTGAATTGTTACGCGGATGATTAAAAATTTGGATTCAAATTTAGATTTCCTTTTCTACTCCAAGTTAGAAGACTTCTCGTAGAACATACAATTTTTTATCAACCATGGCAATTTACGGATTTAACTCCAATAACTACTGACTTTTTATATATGTTATATTAAAAAAATGGTCAAACAAAATAAACTTGACTCAAATGAAGAAATGATTGTCGAAATTGTAGACTATTATATGAGTAATATCCACTCATTATAAAAAAGGCATAGAAAAATTAGAGTGGTTTAGAATAAATGTATCACGATTGAAGAAGAGAGTTGGTTGATTGCTTTTAGTGGTGGCAGAAGTTTCCTCTCTGTCCAAGTACCACATAAACCGTTCTCTATCATGTATATCTTAGTTTTTAAACTGATCTGCGCGGATGGCTAAAATCCATTAATTTTTGAAAATCTTCAGTTGGATTATCTACTAGGAAAATTAGTTTGCAGACTTTCATAATGAGATGTCTTGAATTTTATTAAAGAATAAAGTATTCAGTTGTTGCTTTTTTCTCTTTATCCTTGCAGCTTTTGCATGTCTTGTTGTGAAGGATTTTCTTAAATAGATCGGGAGTTATTGGGAGTTGTTTTCTGCATAGTTATATTTTTTTATAGATATTATGTACAGTTAGGAACATGGGCTAAGGTAAACGAAACTCTCAGCCTCAAGAACTAGATAAATTAAATGTGTTTAAGTACACAATTATTTATTAATTAATTGATATAATAATATAATAATTTTAATATTATTAATAATTTAATAATATAAATAATAATAATATATATATTTAATTTTTATTGTTATTTTTATTACATATATATTTTAAAGTGATTATGAAATATAATCACATGTCATGTGGACATATAGGACCTCATATGGTAGAACCTGGGGCATAAGTCCTAGAATTATATCATCACCCATTGTATCCTACGCAGATCTTGTTTGGTGGAATAAAGCGCAACAAAATGCTGCAATAGTCAAATGCAATAAACTGCAAAGACTCGTATGCGTCGCTATGACGGGAACTATTCGAACATGTCCCACATCAGCACTGGAGTCCATAGTGGGTCTCACCCCTCTGCACCTCTTTATTAAAAAGACAGCAGAATTGAGTGCAGCTAGGCTACGCCCTGTTATCAACATGCACGGAAGTCTCATCAGTCAAAAATCTATCTGCAGACTCTTTCCTGGCATAGAGATCTGCGACAGGACAGATCGCATGAACATGGAACTTCGCTTCGGTAGGGAGTTCGAAGTCCTCATACCCGATCGATTGAACTGGGTAAATGGCACTCCTGGACTCGAACCAAAAGTGTTATCGTGGTATACTGATGGTTCGAAAACCAAAGAAGGAGTTGGTGCTGGAATATTTGGTCCAAACACCAGAATCTCGCTCGCGCTGGGTATATGGCCCACTGTCTTCCAAGCTGAGGTTCACGCCATCGAGATCTGCGCTCGTATCAATATTAACAAGGGGTTGTAAGGCGCCCGAATCTGTATTTATTCAGATAGTCAAGCAGCAATCAAAGCGTTATGCTCCTGGAAGTTTTTCTCAAAACTTCTAGCAGACTGCTATGACACACTGCAGCAGCTGGCAAGCAATAATAAAGTAACACAGTGCTGGGTGCCTGGTCACACAGGAATTAATGGTAATGAGTCTGCCGACAGTCTTGCACGGGCAGGATCCGCCACTATAATCTGTGGCCCAGAACCTTTTTGTGGATTAAGTTGGTCTATAACTGGGTCTCTAATCAATAATTGGATCTCAACCGTCAGGCTAAAGAGCTGGTTCTCCCCTATAGTTATAATAAGACATCCTCCTTTAGCAGAACAGAGTT